CACCCCCATCGTTCTGCCCGGACACTGAAGTCCAGTGCCGAGGGCCTTCTGGCAGTTCCCTCCCTGCGAGAAGCCAAGTTACAGGGAACCAGGCAGAGGGCCTTCCCGGTAGTGGCACCCCCCCATGGAACGCCCTCCCACCAGATGTCAAAGAGAAAACAACTACCAGACTTTTAGAAGACATCTGAAGGCAGCCCTGTTTAGGGAAGCTTTTAATGTTTAATAGATTACTGTTTTAATATTCTGTTGGAAGCCGCCCAGAGTGGCTGGGGAAACCCAGCCAGATGGGCGGGGTATAAATAAATTATTAATTATATTATTTGTTGGTGAGTGGGTTTTGTAGAAGACTGTGCATCAAACACAGAAAGGTCGCAAAAAAAGCACAATCCTCCCACCTGAAACTTTCAAGCTCAATTTCTGGACAATTCAAGACTCTTCCCCACAAGCTCCAGATCAGGACGAGTGCTACTTGCCTATTTTGTGCTGCGATTGTAGTGAATCCAACAGAAGCCCTAGGTATCTCAGAAGTACTGTTTAACTGTGATGACCCCCCCCCCCCAGCTTCAAGGGGTCTGGGGCTAAGGATTGTCCTGGAAATCATGTAAAGTTCAGAGTTTATAGTGGAAGGCCAGTGCCCAAGATCCTGCTCCTTGAAGAAGTGATCAAGCCAAGCAAAGTTTGTGGACCCTTGAATGAGGACAAATCAGAAACCACTAAAAATACAGGGTTTAAAATCTTATACTTTAGGAACTAGGTGGGAAAACAAAGTTAATACAGGGTCTGCAACATGTAGATTAAATAGCCAAACAAATCAAAACACAAAATATCAGTGCCTGAAGACTGACAGAAATGACATATACACTTCATCTAGCTGGAGGCAATGAGCCAATAATCAACAATCTTTTTCGGAGATAAGTAGGACTGTATACCTACTATGTGGCACTGTCACAAAAGCTGTTATTGTTAAAAGTGATGGAAGTTAAGGGTTGGGAGGTTCATCCTTTGCTGCAAAGAATTACTTTGTAATTTCACAAACTGATACTTTAAAAAGGATGGCGCTACGGTGTGCGATGAAGGGATGCGAGGCCACCAGCTATCTAAAGGTATGAGTCTGGCAAGTACTGGATAGATATCTCCCTTGCGTTCCACAATGGAAATAAGGGGATCACAGGCACACAGTTTACAAACTAGTTCGCATTCTGTTCGTTAGCAGCATATGAAGCCCTGCTATTCTGATGTGAAGCTTGCCCTATTTCTATGCTTTCCTGTTTACCAAATGATTATTACCGTATTTTTCTCTCTATTACACGCAGATTTTTTCTCCTAAAAAAGGAAGGGGAAATGTCTGTGCGTGTTATGGAGCGAATGTGGGGGGGGGGGTCCCTGGGAGCCGATTAGGGGAGCGCAGGAACAAAAATCAGCAAAAATCAATCATGCGTTGTGTCCGAGAGGGAAACCTGAAAAGAGGAAGTGGTTGCTTTCCTGCATTCTGCCTCAGGGTCTTACTGCCCACCCTCCTCTGTTTCGTTGCTGTGTTTGCTCAAACGGAACAAAGAGCAGGCAAATCCCCTCCCCTCCAGGCAAGCAGAGGGGAAAGCAGAGGTCTTTCCTTCTAATTCCTCTCCGTGCTCCTCGCAGGCAGCCACGAAAACATGCAGGAGGAGAGAGAAAGCTGGCTTCGGTTTGTGGAAACTTTTGCCTTTCTTTCCTCCCTCCCGTAAAATCTCTCTCCTGCTTTCTTAGCCAGCTGCTTCTCTGCACACCGCTGCTCTTGTCCCTTCTGTGTTTTTCCTTCACTCCCCACTTAAAATGTAGTTTACAAAGCATGGATCCACATGGATCCTCAGGATCTTTGCATTGGGCCACCCCAAATTCACCATCAGATCACATAGCAAGCCTGCCCCCAAAAATCACACACCCACTGTTGCCTGGGGCTGCAATGGTGCAAAAATGTGGTTAAAAAGCATGGATCAACATGGATCCTCAGGATCTTTGCATTGCAGCTACCCCAAATTCACCATCAGATCACATGTCTGTGGCCACAGCATGAAGCACAAAAATGATACATCCACTGTTTCATTCAGAATTTTTTTCCTTGTTTTTCCTCCTCTAAAAACGATGTGCGTGTTATGGTCAGGTGCGTGTTATAGAGCGAAAAATACGGTATATTGAGAGAGAAGAACAAAAAACCTACCTGGTTTTGATAGTATTAATCCCCAGATATCACTGCACTCTAAGATTTAGCACTTTTGCTCTATGTAAGAAGTGTGGCTATTATTACACACTACATTTATACTGTGGAATTAAGGGTAGGGGTTTGTGCGCAAAACCTGGGCATACACTAAAGTCCAGAATGCTATTCTACAGCAGCCTTGCCTAAACACATGCAACCAATGAGTAAAATTAACATTGTAATTCTAAAAGGACTATGTCCCCTTTTAACTTCTTACCTTAGTTCCGGCGATTCAGCCCTCCCATATCGGTCCTGCCACTTCCCAACACCTGAACTTGTTTTTCTGGCTGCTGTGCTCGGCTGTGACTGAGAAGAGGTGCTGTTTCTGGTGAGATAAATTTTCTAGGTCTTTCTTTTCCTCAGGCATTACCCCCACTTTCAATGAACCCCCAATTGGCCTTTCCACATAGGAGACATAGAGTATGTTGTCCCTTATTAATGGAAGAGAAGAGCAGAAACAAAACCTCAAATCTATCCCTTTTTGACCCCTTTCCTTCTCTGCGTAAGGTGATCTGAGAAGCCCTATGTCCCAGACTTAATTATCCAGGTATTTACTGGGAACTCTGATCCAGCTTTCCATTGATGAGGCACAGCCGGTAATGCTGCTATAAAATAAAAAAGAACACTAGGTTATTGTGTTTAACCCCTGGGTTTGTGTCACTTTCCAGCGATAATAGGGCTAATGGTGGGTCAGGCGTATGTTCCTGGCTCGTGCCCAAACGAGGAAGTTATTAAGCAAAGGAAACAGGCAAGTACAGGGTTCATTCATGGAACGCTAAACCATGGTTAGGTTTTAATTTTGAACCAACCCTTGGCCCACTTTGTATAAAATGATAAGCCAGAGTTTATCACCAATCGGCATGAGCCAAAGCTAGCCTTTGACGCACACAGCTAGTGCAGTCAAGGAAGAAATTGCTATATTTTATTAATCATAACTGAATTATGTTCATTCATTCTTTGATACATCGCTTAACAAAATCCCTAAGCATTACACACAGATTTACAATCATAAAATCACAAGCAAAAAGTCAGTACATAGTATCAAAACACAGAGTAGAATAGAGTAAAACATTAAGCAAAACATTAAAATAGAAATACCACCTGTGAGTTACTACAGTGCTTTCAAGAACAGATACAGTAAGCCTTGTTCAACCCCTAAACTGGTTAATCTTAACTACTGTTTGTTGAAACAAAACCGTTTCACAAACTATGGTCTGAATTTGGCTCATTTCAAACAAGCTATACTTAACACATTGTGTAGGTGAGCATGCTGCTGATAAGATACAATTAATGGGGAAATGAAACAAAATCTTCCAGTCTAGTCCTTGTGGACTGGAGGAAGGACAAGGGAAGCAGCTTGTTCCCGTCAGTGATTTCATCATGTAGTCCAGCACATTATCTGTACTTACCTAGCACAGGTGCTTTAAAACAGAGACTTAAAAAGTCACATTCTTACTATTGATCATGCTAAAATATAATTAAATCCTTTAACTTTCCCTGGTCAAATTCCACACACTTCAAATACATCTAGGATTGCAAACTAAAATATGAAAAAAAGGTTAAGATTTGAGACAAGGATAGCAAACTTTTCTTTTATTTAGTTTAAGAGAACGGTAACAAGTAGAAGGTATTTTCTCTCTATGGCAGTTTGAAAATATCCAACTGACCTGTTTGATGGGATGCCTGTCTTGAATAAGGGAGGGGGAGAAGTAAACTCAGTTTTGGTTGGTGGAAGTGGCATTTCTTTCTCCATGTTTCCAGTTCTTCCCTGCTGCACCTTCAGAATAAAGTTTCTTCATTAGCACTGTCTAATGTATGGGGGGGGGGAAGCACCTTTAAGTCAGGTACTGAAGTCAAGATGCTTAAGTATAGGGCTGAAGAACAAAACTCTTAACGAATTATGGCTGCTCATCTTAGCAGATCTTGTGCAGGAAAATTATGGCCTGGATTCAAAGACTGTTGCAACTAGTTCCATGTACCCAAAAGAGCCTGTGTCGCCCACACAAACCTGTGATAAACCTTCTTTCAATCTGGGGGAGTTTCAAAAATAGTTTGTGCTACAGCATGAAGATCAGATAAATCACAAGAGAACAAGTGGGAAATAAAAAAAATTCCACTGGACATGTTTGATGAATGAGCATAAAGTAACTCTCTGAATGCCAGAAATGTTTGTATTATTTTGCTGCAGCCTGCGTAAGATTTTCTGTAAAGCATACAGTACTTCTTCAATGTGGGAGAGGGACAGAAACTGAAAATTATAGTATGGTGAACTTTTGTAAAGTTTGAACAACCAGGTTTCTACCAGAACAAAAGCAAAACAAACTCATGGTCTCCACCATAGAAAAGCAGTTCTTTCATGGCATCTGGAGCAAAAAGCAAAACACAGTTGCCACACTAATTGTAGTCTCATTAAATGTGATCATCTTCTTTCAGATAATCATGCCAATCTTCAACATCAGAAAGGAACAAGGCTACAGAACGATTGTGTAAATTTAAGAATTCCAAGCCATTGAACAAGGACTGTAATAATCTAACTAGTCTTCATGCAGACTGTCCTGCACATGAACTGTGTCATTAAAAAAAATGCCTCCCACTTGCTAAGAAAATTCTTCTTCAAGTAAAGTAAACAAAACTTAACATACAAATTAAGCAGAGACAGGAATCAAAACCCTTTCTTTTTACAATAGAGCAGGGTGCTCTTAGCTACTTGCTTGAGGAAACAAATAATTACTGCTATGTATGTGGCAATAATGTCTCCCTCTATTTAGGCAAAAATAATATTGTGGTGTTGTACAGCTAATTATGACTGTATAAATTGCCAAAGAGCAGGCCAGGGAGGGTAAACCACATCCATTTTCACAGCTCCGTGCTCAGAAAAGCCACCAACATACCACTCCAATGCCATCAAGTAGTCTAAGAGAGCAGAGCCATCTGGACTGTTAAAACCCTCCAATCTGGGCATCCATAAAATCACTAAAGGCTAATGTATTCCCAAAGATCTCCCCTTATTTGAAGGCAGCAAAGTACATCTAGCCTTCAAATTCTCACCAGATGTTAATGAAAAGCACCACTGGACCACAGAATTTTAAATCAGGATCATTCAAAGTCTGCTATTGCAGTGCAGCAGTCAGAGTTCTGAGTTTGAATGTGGGAAAGTTCAAATCCAGATTTAAATATTAAGTTTGCAAGGTGGCCTTGAAAGTCACTACCTCTTAGAATTGTTGCTAGGCTTAATGCCACCCTGAGGGCTTTTAAAGGATACAATAAAAAATAAGAGACAAACGAACTAGGAAATAGCAAACTTCAAATTATTAGTATTACATCAGCCTTGTCTAGATTAGACATCAATTAGGTCTTCTGTACCCAGAATTGGATTACTGAACGCTAATAAAGAATGGAAAACTTGGCTGGTGAATCCAATCAAAAATCTCTATTCAAATTTACCTGCAGGCATATAGTATTAACATTGATCAGGCATTCTTATTTACATAGTAAAACTAATTATATTAGACAACTGTGCATAAAAAGTGATTGGTAACTGGTTGCCCTTGGGCTATAACCTCCTCTACCTGGCCCCTACTGGCCCAACCTAAATGAAAGTGTTTTAAAGAAAGGGAATCGTATAGTTCCAACTTTCACTTTAAGAAACAAAGAGCTTTCATGAGCTTACACATTCTATTCAACTGCACTCATGTATGCATTCTGGAAAAACAAAGCACCCCCATCAATCTTGAAGCCATTTTTTCCAAAAACATATTGGTTCCTTGGCACCAGGAACCTACTCATCGTCTCACACCATGTTGTCCCTTAATATAAAGTTTTTACACTCAGGCGTCCACAAATGCAGTTGCCAATGGAGACCTCCTACCATTTATCCAGCACGAAGCAAGGCTCCTCTCCTCCCCCAGTTCTCCACACAGCACAGAGATCTCAAGAGGACAGAAAACTCACACACTTCATGCAAGAAAGAGATAAACACTGCATTGCCTGTGAGTCCTTCTACATGAACGTATGGCAGGGGAAAGGCAAAGTCTCATGTCTAGGTTCTAACTTCAGAAACAGTCAACGTTCTTGCTGTTCCCAGTATCTTGTAGGGCTAATAAAACTGTTCCCTCTCTGGAGCTCTGCATGCACATCAGAGTGAAAGGGTCAGTGATGACAGCTGTCTGCCAACACCAGCCAAAATATGTGTTCCTCTATCCTTACTGCCAGCTTTATAGTTATCTATGAGGAAGTAAATTGCTCTGCCCCCAATAATACAGAAGTGGATCATTCCTGATATCGGGGGGGGGGGGGGGACACACAAGAGAAGCCATCCGTTCAATTGGTTCTGATCATTCTCCAGCATGTTTTCTCACTGGAATACTGCACAGAAAATAAAAACACATTAAACATCGACACTTCCATAAACTAGAAACTCATCTGACTAAAGGGATGCAGCATACAAGGAATTAAAGAACTGCCAGAGCAATCATTAGTACATTAGGCCATCAAGTCACAGGCTTGCAGCAGCAAAGGTAAATTACAGGGTTCTACATGCAGCACATCTGGAGTATACATCAAAACACTTGGGGAAAACAGCTACGCCCACTTGTGCTTAGATTCAGACCTTGGAAATGGTATGGCAAACAGTGATTAGAGTGACTAAGGAAAGTTTACCAACATTCACCTTAAAAAGATTGTATGTGCCATCTGGAATCTCTGCCCCTGGAGTTACTTCCATAGCAATGTCTTCGGCCTAAGTTAAATAACACATTGCCCATTAAAACACCACATTATGGACTGATGGGCTACAATACAACTAACAACAGGTTACAAGCTAGTTGTAGCTTGGTGGTTCCACACTATCAACACAAAGGCCAACAAAGAAATGGAGCAAAACTTCTAGGTGACAGGAAGAGGAAGGAAGGTAGGTATGTACTTTGAACCACACAAAGACTTCTAACACTCACTGCGGAGACAGTGCTATTCCAACTTCAGAAGGAAAAGCATTTCCATAATTTGGTAATCAGAGAGTCTATTCATTACCGTAATTTTATTTGTCGTTGAGGTAACAGGTAAAATTTCAAGTCCCATTCGTATTCTCTTTTGTTTTTCACAGTATGCTTTCCAGGTGTCTTCATTAAACCCATAATTGAAATAATCTGAGAGATCAGCACCTGAAGAGGGATAAAACACAAACAGTCTAAAAGTTACAACTCAACTGGCAGAGAGGAAGGGAAATAACCCAGTCCTCCACTAAGCTGTTGGTTTTTAAGTGAAACATAGCTGAAAACCATTCTAAAAGGGGGTGTTTTCTACTCCCCCCTGAAGCACGTATTAGCTACCAGCAGTGACAATTAATTAACTGCAGTACAAGGGAGAGGGCACTTGACCAAATGGTACATAATCTAGGAAAGAACAACTGCAGCAAAGCAGAAAACTCCAAGCAGATGCTCAAGAGACACCTATGCAGTTAAGAGGACTGCTCTGTTGATACGATGATTTAAAAGATGCACAGGCATATTCTTGTACATGAAAATTCATTTATTAAGTAAGGGTTTATTCCACATTGATTTAAGAAATTAACAACACAACTTCTTATCCATAAATTGTGTTCATTGGGTTCTGAGCAATAGTGATCACCCTATTTTCTAGTTGACTAATGGCTTAAGTTCTAATTTGCTACATGGAAAACCCACATTTTTATACAATCTCACTGACAAGCTTCTACAGTGATAAAAATTCAAACAGCAAAATTTGTTACCTGGCTTTCTCCAAGGTTTATCCTCAAAGGAATCCAAATCAACTTCTAATAGTGGAACACCATTAATACTTCCTGGTGCATCCAGATCAACTCCTTTCACTTTTGCACCTACAAAGAAGTGTCAAAATATTATAATAAGAACCATCACACATCCAATTCTACATCCAGAATTAAAGCATATCTGTGTTTATAAGCCTGACAAATAATTGAAAACAATGAAATAACTACAGATACATGGGGAAGAAAGACTTTCAGTAGGTACCCTGGGAACATCTCTCAGGAGAGCCTACCTAATATTGTTGAGAAAAATATTCTTGCAATGATATAATTCATAACTTTACAGCTGTATATAAATGCAGTCGGTACAGAATGCTGATTTTTTTCTTCTATTTTTTATTTTTGACAGCACAGAAGACGCTTACCAGAAGATCCGTAAGATCGTCCTCCTGTCTTGATATTGAGATTCACTGGGGCTGCTCCATACCTAAAAATTAATGTTGTATTATTAAGTGGAAAAATGAAGGTTGACAGCTGCCAACTTTAGCACCCATTGTTTGCACATGAAAGAAAGCCTAATATTTTGTAAACACATTATCCAAGGCACAAAACCCCCCTAACCTAAGAATTTGAGGAACATGCTGGCACCATATTCCCATTTTGAATCATGTGTTTCAAAGCATCTGCAGCATAAGTGCAGACTTTCAATATTATGAAAAACCAAGATGTTGCATTATAAAGCTATATTGTCTAGAATCAGTTGGATTGTGTTACTTTTTAATTAGTCAACCTGGCAAAGTACCAAAAGGGAAAAAACTTTTTTTTATTTTGAGCTTTGTATGTTACTTATAAAAAGCCCATGTGTGATTAGTCCATCAAAAATGAAACTGGCCTGATCAAACACATGACCAGATGGTTGAAAAACAAAAAACAAAGTGTTACAACTTACACGTTTCCTTGCTACAGTTTGACAAGGGAAGTGAATATTCACTTGCCTGCCTTAGATCAGATCCATTGTGTCATGGAAGTCAGATGCTGAGCCCACCACCAACCAACCAACCAACCATCCAACCAACCAGTGATATGGGTTTTCTGATAATTTTCCAATGCAAACCAGAGTAATCTGCATAGGATAATCTGCCCCACATCACTGCAGACAGCTTACCCATATTGCGGGGCTCCTGTTTTAATATCTCCTATTGTGACCTGAACATCATCTTCATCGTCATCACTATCACTATCACTGTCATCCTCGGCCTCTGTTGCTTTCTACAAGAAGAAAGATCACAGTTACAAATTACATTCAATGTAAGTAAGTGACCAACAATGGCAGACTAACATTTAATAGAGTACTTTCACTACAGTTATTTCAAAATAAAAAATAATGTTACTGCTTTTTTCATATCTGGGTAATATTTATATCATTTAACACTTCCAAAAAATAAAAAACTAAGCAGAAAACTGAGCGTTGAGGATAAACACTGACATCTCAAGAGAAAAAGAGGAGGAAATCTGGCTCATTTCACAACCACAGAACCTTTTTATATGTACTACTATGGTGCACCACTGAAGTCAATACGGGCTCTGCCACTGACTTACCGTATTTTTTGCCCTATAGAATGCACTTTTTCCGCTCCAAAAATGAAGGGGAAATGTGTGTGCGTCCTATGGGGCGAATGCAGGCTCCTTGGCTTCAGCGATAGCAACGCGAAGCCTCCGAAGCCTGCGCTCCGGAGGCTTCGCATTGCTTTCGCTGAAGCCAGGAAAGTCTGCTCTTTGAGGCTGGCGGTGGGGGAAAGCAGCGTCAGCCTCAAAGCTGGCGGGGGCAGCGGGAAGGCACACGATGCCTTAGCGCTGCTCCCCGACCCGGCTTTGAGGCTGGCGGTGGGGGAAAGCAGTGCTTCCCCCACCGCCAGCCCCACAGGCTCGGGGGGCAGCAGGAAGGCGTGTGACGCCTTTGCGCTGCTCCCGGACCTGGTTTGGAGGCTGGCGGTGGGGGAAAGCAGCGTCAGCCTCAAAGCTGGCGGGGGCAGCGGGAAGGCACACGAAGTCTGAAATACTTGTGCGTACGTCCATAGTATCCATTGAAAATACTGGCGGGCATCAACCAAAAATGCTATCAAATGCATTAGAAAGCTAAGCAGCCACTCCTCCACAAAGTTGGACAAATTATTCACTGATACTGCTCCACCAAACTTCAATGCAACGGAAAAAAAGCAGGTATTGGGACAAGGGATAAAATACTAATTATCTACCCAGCTGGTCTCTCCTAAAACTACCATTCTTCACAACAAACAGCCATTGGGGTTGTGTTATGTGCATGTAGTATGAAGACGATCTGTATCAGGTAGTTTGTTTTGTTGTTTTTCAGTAACAAGGCAAGTATTTCAGCATTAGTTAAATGCAATCACATGACTCGGTGAAACAAACTCCTACTGAACTAAATTGTTTTTGCAATCATGTTAAATCTATTCATAACGTTGTACCAGTTTTTGACTGATGTTCAACACCATTGTGGAGAAGGGGGGGGGGGGAAAGGCAAGAGGACAGTGAAGCTGATTTATTGGATGGGCTTTCAAAGATGAGCCTAATTCCAGAAGCCGCACTATCAAGCTTTGGATTTTTCAAATCATTTAGCACCTGGGCTGACTTAACTGAATGTTGTGATAATAACATCTTGCAAAAAAACACATTGACTTGAGTTCATTAGTCACCACAAGCAGTTTGTTCAGAATCCAAGTACATCAAATAACTGGTTTCAATCACCGTTTTCACGACACCATTTTCAGCAGCGGCTTCTTCTTCATTTCCAGTCGGAGGTTGAGCACTTAAAAATAATCATAATAAAAAACATTAACCAAGTTATGAGATGTTAAGATGTATAAGAAAATGAGTTCCACTTAAAATGGGTTATGTACTTGTTGTTATATCATGGATGGATGAAATAGCGTTCCATAAAAAACTGTATGTTTATTTAATACTGCATTAATATCCCATCCTTCCTCAAGGATAGTGTACATGGTCCTCCTCCTTCTGCATAATATTCTCACAGCCCTGCGAGATGGGTTAGGCTGAGAAAAAAGGTAAAGGACCCCTGGACGGTTAAGTCCAGTCAAAGGCGACTATGGGGTTGCAGCACTCATCTCACAGACAGCTTTCCGGGTCATGTGGCCAGCATGACTAAACCGCTTCTGGTGCAACGGAACACCATAATCCAGAGCACACGGAAGCACCATTTACCTTCCCACCACAGTGGTACGGTACCTATTTATCTACTTGCACTGGGGAGCTTTTGATCTGCTAGGTTGGCAGGAGCTGGGACAGAGCAACGGGAGCTCACCCCGTTGCAGGGATTCGAACCACTGACCTTCCAACTGGCAAGCCCAAGAGGCTCAGTGGTTTAGACCACAGCGCCACCAGTGTGGCGTATTGTATCGTATAGTAGCTCTTCAACAAATAATAATAAATTCATGTATTTTCAACACATTTCACACTCAATGCTACAACGATATACACAAATAAAAGAATACCTACTTGCCAGGTGTTTCCTCGGGTTTCTCATCTTCATTTTCATCTACAAAAAGCAACAAGAAGAAAAAATACTACCTCAAAATTATCTCTGACTGCAATAGTACAAACAAGAATCCCTCACAAATTTCCAGTTTTCATTTTATACAAAATGCACAGATTCCATTTCTAAATATTCCAGCTGCATTTCTCAAACCATGTGTTATCTGCAGTCAGGATTGTCTCCCTTTTTACTAGTCCTTCTACACATGAATTCATAATGGGTTCAAAGCACCAACAGATGTGAGCTGTGTTTTCTTTGTACTTTTTCTTTGTGAGCTGCAACCTGCTTCCTGCCTTTTCCATGCAAGCTTAAACACATAGGGACACACACCTCCAGTAAAGCAGCAATATAGAGGGAGTGGTGTTCTTGTTTTATTATGGAACTTGTGTTTTTACCTTGTATATTTCTGCCTAGATCTATGGAATAAGAGTGGTATACAAATTTAATGAATCATCATCAGCATCATAATGACATACCGTTTGTGCCTTAACTCTCTACTTTCCCCTTATGATCTTTGTACTGTTTAGGAACAATCTCAATAAAAGTGTGTTTCTGAACACCTTGGGGTTCCCCATGTCTCTGAGGCAGGAAGGCAGGGTGGCAAAGGACCAAAACAGGTTGGTGCATTGCTGCTGGCAGCCTTCCAACTCCCCCAGTATTTCTGATTTACCTTACCACTAATAACAACAAAACGTTCAAAAATCGCTACTGGTCCAAAGACCTCGGCCAACTCCTGAGAGAAAGGAAGTGCCTCGAGATGGTGGTGGTCGAGTTAAAACGTATTAAAAAGCTGGTGGGCGGAGTATTAAAAACACAAAACCCAGGGCTATGCAGAGTCAGGGAGGAGTCTCCCACCAAAGCACGAGGCTTCGAATCAGACCGTGACTTATTTCCTTTTTCACAAAGACCCAAATCGATTCACAAGGCACCCCAACTACATCCAGGGAGCCCCTCTCGGCTGCTTAAAAAAACCCCATATGCATGCGCATGTTCAGCGGGGCTTAACTCTTCCCCGGTGAATGTACGATGGGGCCCGGTGTGCCTATTCGCTTTCCAACCCATGGGGCTCCAAATCCACAGCGGGGCCTACCGAGCCTCCCTTAAGGAGACGGGCAAACGGCATAAAGGCGGCCAGGGGAAGGCGCCGCGCTGCAAAGGGCAACCCGCCTCCTCCCCAGAGGCCTCCCCGTCCTTTGGGAGCCCGAAAAGCCGGCCGCGGAAAGAGCAGGCCCCGGCCGCGGCCTGGCAACGGGCAGGGCCTAGCGTTTCCCGCCGGCCGAAACCCGAGGAGGGGCGGCCCGGCAAGCAGCATAAGGGCGGCGTGGGGAGGTGGAGAGCAGCTTGAAGAAAGGAAAGAGGTGGTGGTGGTGGGGTTTGAGAGAAGCTTCGTACCGCCATAGAGCCACTCCTCCTCCTCATCCCCGGCGCCGGCCCCGCTCAGGTCCGCCGCCAGCCTCTCCACTTCGCCGCCGGCCGACATGGCTGCTGCTGATTCTGCACGAGGAAGGCCTGGTGGCGCTTCGCTGAGGCGAGTCCCGCAGTGCGCCCCCGCCCCCTCCAACCTGGACCGCTTTTGATTCTTGACGGCGGCAATAGGAAGGACAACAACAATGGCTGCCACTGCCTCCCTCTCTCTCCCCCGCCTCCGGAGAAGCCGAGCGGCGGCGGCAAGCGCGACGGCGCCTCGGCCTGCACTTCCCCTCCGCCGCCGCTGCGCGACTGACACGCTCGGGAAGGGGCAGGCTTGGGCCCCGTCGGTGGGCGCCGCTTTGCTCCTGAAAGCCTTTCTCTGGAAGCCCTAAGCGTGCTTACTCTGAAGTAAGCCCTGCTGAGCTCAGCGGGGCTTACTTGCCCAGGACAAAAGAAACTGAGGAGATTCCCCCCCCCCCAAAAAGGATGTGGGGTTGTCTCTGAGCAGCAACACCTGCACGCGAGCACTTCTTTACCCGCCCCACTGAGGGTGGCTGTGACACGCAGCAGTGTTGAAACCACAATTACAAAGTAGTTACAAAGTCAGTGCTGTAGTCAGATGCGGGCAGCCCAGAGGATTTAATGCACTCGTCTCAGCACACACAAACGCACGTGAGATGCATTCTCAATCCACTCAAACGGCTCCCCTGTTTCTCAAAGGTGTGTGTATCTACTTGCAAGGTGCCCCCGTGGAAGGGACTTAAAATAAACCAGATGCTTAAAGATTTTATTTTTTATCCAGTTTTAATTAGTTCTCTTCTTGGAAAAAGGGGTTGTGATTTGAGGCATATGATTGGGCTGGGCGGCTGTTACTGCAAAGCACTTTTCATTCTTAAGCAAGGTAGGGTTTTTTTGATGTACCAGTCAGGTTTCCCACTCACTGCCTGGTTAGAATGGCATTTCCTATTTCTAGGGTCTTATAATGCCATTTTATGCCCGCTAAGTGCTCTCTGAGACTGTACAACTCAAGCCACTGGGAACTTCCCTTTTCCACCCATCTAAACACCTTAATTTGAGTCTATAGTCCCCGTGCCTTTAAACATAACCTTTACCAACCTTCCATTCTGAAAGTCCCTTTGCTCTTTTTCCTCAGTGTCTTCAGCTTGTGGTAGAGTTGGCCTAGTGAAGAGAAGTCAGCTCCTTTAATCAGCATTAGCAATTTACCGTATTTCTAAAATAAGAGGTGCTAGCTTTCAGGCCTGCCTTTATATCAGACCATTTGTTTTGGGAGGCATCCAGGTTGATAAATTTATTTAAGACACTCAGTGGGGAGGGGGAAAACAATTTGCATATACTCTATTTGCTACCACTTCACATGTTGTTCCATGGCTCAACCCTGGCATTAAAATGGTTTGGCCTGGTGAATGAATATTGATTCAGATTAAATCATACCTATGAGAGGGACTTGCATTAATGACTTTTGAAAACAGGTTTCCCCCCAGAACATATTAGCTAGTGATAGCTTCTTTGTAACTTTGTCCATTTACTCAAGTCATCTTGAAAAACAGATCCAGAAATACATCTCAGTATTTTGTTGTTCCTGCTGTCTTCCTGTAGTGCTTTGTAGTTTGTAGTCTGGATTGTGTGGACTTTTGTAGAGGTTTAAGAATTGCATACCTTTTTTTTTGCTGAAGTTAGTTGTTCATAACACTCCCAGTGTTGTGTAGGTATACATGCTTATTTTAATATGTTCAAGGACTTCTACCTGACGGTACTGCTGGATTAAAACAAAGGTCTCATGTATAAAATGCTAGTGAACAGGACCTGAGTACAACAGCACTCTCCTCTTATTCCATGGATTACAAAAAGGATCATGATCTATGATTATTGCTGGCTGGTTGCAATTTATCTGACATGCTTATTAAGTCAATGTTACCAAGCAGGTGGATTAGTTTTAATTGTAACCAGTTCTAGAACTGCATTTGCAATGAGGAATGGGTATTAAATGTTTTAAATTAATGAGGCTACAAACCTAAACCTGTTCACTCAGAACAAAGCCCCACCAAACTCAATGGTGCTTACACGAAGTTAGGTACAGCTAGGACTGCAACCTTAACCATTAATTATAAATAACTAGTTTCAACCCTTTCCCCTCTAAAACTCAAACTCTCAGATTATTTCCCTGTTAAACCTTCACCCTCCCTCCCCCACACGCACATTTAATCAGTGCAACTATGACAAGTCTCTACAGAATTCAGGCTTCCAGCTTTTATGACATTCAACAATACATTGTTTAACAGATATTAAATCTGATGAGACAATTATGCGAGCCGAGCCGACGAGACCTGTAGCTAGTCCTGGGTGTGCTGTTGCTATTACTACTACAATTGCTATCACTAGGACATGAAAACACCACCGAATACTATTTTGTCTTTCAAAACCGTCATTAAAAAAATAATAAGGCGAACGTGACAGAACAGTTCAGAACCGAAAACAGTAGGAGAAACGCCCGACACAACTCTCAAAGGTCCCGCCCCGCTACACGTTGCCCAGGCTCCATTCAGCCTCCGCGGCTCTTCCGGGTTGGTAGGCGAACTTCCGCCCTCAGGTGAGAGGGGCATTTGCCGGCCAAAGAGCTTCGTTCTTACAAACGCCCGAAACAGCGCCCCGCCTCCTCGTCTTCCCGACCGGCCAATTGGAGTCGAGAGCTGGAATATGACGTTAAATCCGCGCGACCGCTTCAAAGATAGGCGTGTGCGGATTGTGGAGGCCGGCGGTGCTGTCAACTCCGCTACCCGCTTGTGAAGTGCCGGAGTGGCTTAGGATGTGCCTGATTTAAGTATCCCGCGCCGCCTGACGGGCCTCGGAGGTGCGCTTCCCGCTTCAACACATAGCAAAGGGCTTCTTTTCACTTTTGCCTCACTGACACCCCTTGCAGCCCGTCGTCTGGAGTGGTACCCACTGAGAAGTGCCAGGGGGACTCCAGCAAGCCTCTCCCACGATGTCTTCCTCTTCCACTACCTCCTCCTCTCCCACAGCCCCTGCTGGGATGTCGCAATTCTGCCAGCAAGCCTGGGGGCAGGTGTTTGCCAAGGCCAAGCGGGCTGTTGTGTTCATGGACCCTGCTTGTGCCGAAAGCCTTCACTGGGCGTGCGGAGGAGCCGGGAGGTTGCTGCAGGCCGGGGCGATCAACGTTAAGGAGTTTTCCAGCTTTGAATCTGGAGCTGCGGACCAGCCCAAAGCTGTCTTTGTGGTGGGCAGCTTGCTGAAAGGCAGGACGGTGGACATCATCCGGGACATTGTCACTCTCAGCAACTTCCAGTACTGCGTGGTTTTCACAGCTGTCAGCCATGCGGTGCACTTGCAGGCCCACAACGCTCCCGGCACTACTGAGGTTGAAGGTGTCGGCCGGGTGGTCTTTGAACAGTTTGAAGAGAAGCTCTGCCAGTGGATGGGAAACATGAACTACACTGCAGAGGTTCAACATGCCCCTTTGTTCTTGGCACCCATCTCGCCTCATCTCTTTGTAGCACCTGCCTTCTCCTTGTTTTTCCCCTTGATGGCTGAGGATTTGCCTCGGATCAATAAAGCTAGACCGGAGAAGAAGAAAATTTCCCACTTGAGTGATGTTGATTTTTCATCTCTGTCTTCAGAGTTGCAGCTTCAGATCAGGTCCTTGGTTTCTGATTTCAACAGCTTGTTTGAGTACCTCAGTGTGCGGGAGGAATGTTTTGCTGTTGGGACAATAAGTAAGATAATTGCAGGGGATCTGGCAAATTATGCCCAGGCTAAGACCAGAAGGAAAACTGCACAACACAGAGCTTCTGTCATCTTTGTGGACAGGACATTAGATTTGACAGGTAAGATGTTTGAGGGATTAACAGTTTGTTTCTTCTTGAAGCTATTTCCCTTAGTTACAAGAATACTAACCTTTGTACGCTACTGTTGGAACTTCTCAACGGAACCACTAACATGCCTGAGTTGGTTGAGGCAGTCTTAAATGAGTGTTCTAAGGCTCCTAGATTTCAGCATAAACACCAGAGCCACTTTGGCTGGAGCTGCACCTGCCTCAAATGAAATCACCAAACACATATGTTAGGAAACACTTTAAATCTGGTTTTGTGTAAGGGAAGGTTATATGTGGGTGAGGGAACTAGCAATGACTTCATTGTCAGGGATAGCTCCTTACCTGATCAAGTTTTGGGCTACTATATAAGCCAGGCATGGCCAAACTTGTCCCTCCAGCTGTTTTGGGACTACAATTCCCATCATCCGTGACCACTGGTTTTGTTAGCTAGGGATGATGGGAGTTGTAGTCCCAAAACAGCTGGAGGGCCAAGTTTGGCCATGCCTGATTATAAGCTCATTGAGTCAAGCTTGACCAAGGCATTACAGTTTGTTGATATAATAGTTTGTATTTACTCTAACTTGGATATTGTGATTCTTTAAAGAGTTGGAGACAGGTGCTCCTAAACACTGTCTGGTTATGCTGTTATGGATACTTTTCAGCTTGCGTAACTTGAGCAGGCTGGCAAGTGATAACAAGGGTTGAAACATCTTGTTCTTTGGGTTCCTGCTCTTCCTGGCTAGTGAAATCTTCCAGGGATGAGCTTTCAGTAGGATCCCTGAAGATGGTTAGTGTCACTTTAAGAGAGGGCATAATGCCCATCTTCCTTGAAAGAGGCAGTAGTGATAACATTATGGAAGAATCCAAGTGGCTTGCCAAGGCAGTCTTGGAGACCGTGGATTATTTCAAATCCACCCCAAGTTAATAAACCTATGAGATGCCAGTTAAAGTGTAAACATACTTCTGCGATATGTGCACATCTGCCAGTATTTAACCACCTTTCCAATTACTGTCAAATCATGGTTGTATATAAGAGATCTAGACACTGGGATCGACTTTACTGTTTTTCCACTATGTGAATAGAGTGTGAATTCATTTTATACAATCATGGTGATCTTTGTTTGTTTACATAGCTGTCTTCCAAATGGTCAACTTCTAAAATTCACTTTCTTTGCCATTTTACTATTGACATTGTTCAGCTGTTCTTCTTGTGTACACAGTCATATGATTTTGTTTTGTTCTGAATGCTCATGTAATAGACCTTTTGCTAAGTCAATGGATTATTCTTTTTCAGGAGCAGTTGGTCATCATGGTGACAACCTAGCGGAGAAGATACTCTCTTCTCTTCCCAAACTTCCAGGTCATACAAATGACGTGATGATCAACATGGTAGAACTCACAAACCTGCAGAGTGATGATGCAAGCTGCAGTATTGTAGCACCAGGCTGCTTGGCACAACCAAAGTAAGAAGCTTCCTTGTGTGTGGTATTCTTTAAAAGCTATGTTGCATTTGAGTTCTGCACTGTTACCTAGCCCAGCAAAACAGAGATGTAGCGACAAGCAGGTTTTGCCCAGCAAAACAGAGATGTAGTCACAAGCAGGTTTTGCATGCATATTCCTTTGCTGGGCTGGAAACTGAAAATGCAGTCCGGATGTATATGTGCATCTGTATTGTGATGCCAACCAAAAGCTGCCAGAAATTGATGTTTACTATTGTCTATTCAGATATTGATCATTAACTCAAACACCACAACATGATGGCAATTTCACATACAAAAATGTTGCTATTGCCTCATCGTTGGTATCATCTAAAATGGTGTCTGCCTAGCAGAGTCATTTTCTTTTGCCCATGTACCCCTTCCGGTGTTTAGAAAGCTAATTTAAAAAGGGATCTAGTTCAGGTTCCCGCTATACAAAAAGGAACTAGTTCAGTTCAAGTTAATAGGATCAGAGAATGGTAGAGTTGGAATGGACCATGAGGATCATCTAGTCCAACCCCTTGCAATGCAGGAATCTTTTTACCTAACATGGGGCTCAAACCCATGACTCAGAATTTAAGAGTCTCATGCTTTACCAAGTGAGCTATAGCTCTACATGCAATGAACATTTTAGCTTATAAAATGTTTATCAGTGTTGTCCCTCCCCCCCCCCCCGAATTCAACATTCAGAATGTTTACAAGCTACTGTGCTGAATGGTCCAAAAGTAGACTTGCCCTGTTTATGGCAGCCACACAAGTACCCAACAGGTACTGCTATTGGAAAACAGAGATGCGGTCGTACCTTGGATCCCGAGCACCTTGGTACTTGGACATTTTGGCTCCTGGATGTTGCAAACCCAGAAGTGAGTGTTCCGGTTTGCAAATGTTCTTTGGAACCTGAATGTCTGACAGGGCTTCTGTGGCTTCCGAATGGCTGCAGGAGCTTCCTGCAGCCAATTAGAATCCACGCTTTGGTTTCTGAATGTTTTGGAAGTCGAACAGACTTCTGGAACAGATTTCGTTCAACTTCCGAGGTACGACTGTACTCTCCAACAGGGAAGATACAAGAAATGCCTCACCCCCCTTCTTTCTAATTACTTAGCAGCCATGATTAAGTGACTAAATGACCTTAGAAACAACAGTGACTCTGTATCTGCCTAATAAGTCATAAAAAGCTGCCTCCACGCTTTGTTTTCCAATTCCAAATGACTTCCTTTTGAAGGAAAGCTAAGAGTCTGGGCCTTCTGCAAGGCAGGTGGGGAATGGAATGGAGATGAATTGAAGATCTATCCTGAAAATAATTTAAGTGACCACTAATTCACCCAGCAGTTATGGGAACTACTTTCACGTGTAGTTCAGAGACTTTTCAGGTAGTTCGGTGAAATAGTTCATTCCAAGCACTGACCTCTTTAGCCCAAATTAAAAACCATTTCCCCCTATGTATGGGAAGTGGTACCTCGGGTTACATTTGCTTCAGGTTTCAGATGCTTCAGGTTACAGACTCCGCTAACCCAGAAATAGTACCTCGGGTTAAAAACTTTGCTTCGGGATGAGAACAGAAATTGTGCTCCCGCGGCGTGGCAGCAGCAGGAGGCTCCATTAGCTAAAGTGGTGCTTCAGGTTAAGAACAGTTTCAGGTTAAGAACAGACCTCCGGAACGAATTAAGTACTTTACCCGAGGTACCACTGTACACATAGCTCTTGGGACAGTCACAGATACTGCATTTGAGCTGCTCTTGAAATCCTGTATTATTTTTATTATATATTTATTTCACAGAATCATAGAGATGGAAGGGATCCCAAGGGTCATCTAGTCTAACCCCCTGCAGTGCTGGAATCTCAGCTAAAGCATCCATGACAGATGGCCATCCAACCTCTGTTTAAAAATCTCCAAGAAAGGAGAGTCCACCACCTCTTGTGGGAGTCTGTTCCACTGCAGAACAGCTCCTACTGTCAGAAAGTTTCCCCCGAATGTGTAGTTGGAATCTCCTTTCTTGCAACTTGAAGCCATTGGTTTGAGTCCTACCCTCCGGGACATGAGAAAACAAGCATGCTCCCTCCTCCATGTGACATCCCTTAAGATATTTGAGGATGGCTATCGTATCTCCTCTCAGTCTCCTCTAAACATACCCAGCTCCTTCAAGCGCTCCTTGTAAGGCTTCCAGATCCTTGATCATCTTGGTTGTCCTCCTCTGCACACCTTTCAGCTTGTCAACATGCTTCTTAAATTGTGGTGGCCAGAATTGGACACAGTATTCCAAGGGTGGTCTGACTAAGACAGAACAGAGTGGCACAAGAGTAAAAGCAACCTAAAATGTTCACTGATAACATGTGTAAAAAAGCAGATCCAACTCACCCCCCACCCCCCAAAATGAGCGGAAGATTCATCATCATCATCAAACCTTTTATTGGCATCACATACAAACATCCATAGTAAATCAATACAGAATTACCACCTCCCCAATGTCACAGAACATTTGTCAAATGAAAAGAGGCAAAACAGTCTAATGTTACAGAGCGGAAGATTAAAGTTTTTGCCTGGTGCCTAAAAAGCAAATAGTTGTGGCACCAGGCATGCCTCTCTGAGGAAAGCATTCCACAAGTGGGAGCTACTCCAGAGAAGGCCCATTTTTATGTAGAACCTTTGTTTTTTGAGGCAGTTACATACCTTGTTCCCTCAAGCATTGTGTCAGACACAAGAGTGAGTTAAATGGTTGCTTTCCATTGCTGTACTATAAAACACTTAGGAATTTTGCTGTGAGAGCTGTAAGCTTAAAAGTGGATCAGATGCTTAGTACACTGGTACCTTGGGTTAAGAACTTAATTCGTTCTGGAGGTCCATTCTTAACCTGAAACTGTTCTTAACATGAGGTACCACTTTAGCCAATGGGGCCTCCTGCTGCCGCTGCACCGCCGGAGCACGGTTTCTGTTCAAATCCTGAAGCAAAGTTCTTAACTTGAGATACTATTTCTGGGTTAGCGGACTCTGTAACCTGAAGTGTCAGTAACCCGAGGTACCACTGTATGCAGAGATTCACATTCTCAACCTCTGGCATCTCCAGGTAGGGCCAGGAAAGAACTGTGTGGAATTTTTGAAGAGCTATACCAGATTTGCCATAGTGCTGGGGTTGGGAATCTGTGGTTCACCAGATACTCTAGGACTCCATCAGCCCCAGCCACTCCTGCTCCAAGTGTCTTTGGTTGCCATTGGCTCAGTTGCTCAGATCCTAAATAAGGGACTGGCAGGGAAAGTGAAGGAGCGAAAAAGAAGTGGACATTTAGGAAAACAAGGGCCCAGGAAAGGAGTATTGGAAGATCGGGCTGTAGGGAAGAAGAGAATAACAGAATACTTGGGGAAGGGAATCTGGGAAGGAGAGGGAATGCACAATAAAGGCAGGTCCATAAGACTTAGCTGCAAAGGAGAAGTTCAGATACTGATTTGAAATACTCTGCTAAATATTTGGCTGCTGTTAGCTAGACTTGTGAAATGTATCCTAAACTGTAGTCTGAATTAATGTTTGCAATATTCAACTCTGAAAGAAGTCCATTTAAATTTGAATTGAATTACTGTTTTGGCAGGGAACTTCGGATCAGATGTCATTCTTCATAAAATGTTTGTTGGCAGTGATGGGAATTTTGTAGAATTTGTTATTTCTGAATAAAGGTGTGTGTGATATATACACACCTAGAGTTTGGAATCCACCATCAGGTAGTTCACATTTTAAGAGATGTTTCTTCTAAGTATTTCAAATGTATTGGGATAACGGAGAAAGAAGATCTCCTTTCTCTACAGCATGCTATATGTATTTTTAAAATAAATAAATAAATGTGTTTCCAGCCAAAACATCTGGGCTTAGTTTATGGAGTTAGCAAGCAGATTTAATGAATATTTATGGTTGACGTAGGGCTATAAAGCAGAGTCTTTACTTAAATCTAGGGAAACAATTAACTTCTTTAAAGATGAAAATTTTAAATTCTCTGTGCTCTTAAAGTTATTGGACTTCGAACATAACCACTTGAGAAACTGAAAAATGCAGAAATGTCCTTAAAATTCTTTAAATCATATTAGTCATGTGCAGAATTTTCCATCGAGAAAACCTTCTTGCTATAATTGCTGACACATTGGTCATTTAGTAGAAATGGATTGCAGAGAATATATATTTTTGGAGAGTGATAATCTTTTTTCTTTAAGTATACGGTTTATATATTATGAAATAAAACTTATGGATCATAACTATATATACACACACATATACAATGGTAACATGAACTCCTTCATTGTGGGTTTTTTAAAAAAATGAAAGTGCAGTTTATAAATATTTAAAGAAAGAAAATAAAGGTGATACTACTTTCTATATTTGGGCACCCACGGAAAATGTGCAAAATTTATTGGGCACTATAGAACTTTGTGAAATGTGCAAAATTCCAATCTCTCCATGGCTGTTCTGTCAGTGATGCAGTAACATTTGTCTGAGAAACCAGTTCATAATCCACTCAGATTGCTGAGCTGAAAATCCTTAAAGGTAAAGGTACCCCTGCCCGTACGGGCCAGTCTTGACAGACTCTAGGGTTGTGCGCCCATCTCACTCAAGAGGCCGGGGGCCAGCGCTGTCCGGAGACACTTCCGGGTCATGTGGCCAGTGTGACACCGCTGCTCTGGCGAGCCAGAGCCGCACACGGAAACGCCGTTTACCTTCCCGCTAGTAAGCGGTCCCTATTTATCTACTTGCACCCGGGGGTGCTTTCAAACTGCTAGGTTGGCAGGGGCTGGGACCGAGCAACGGGAGCGCACCCCGCCGCGGGGATTTGAACTGCCGACCTTTCGATCGGCAAGCCCTAGGCGCTGAGGCTTTTACCCACAGCGCCACCCGCGTCCCTGCTGAAAATCCTTAGCCTTGAAGATATAATAATGATAATGATAATAATAATAATTTAATTATTTCAGTCACAGACCAGTTCCAGCTCACATACAATATCAGGAAAGT